AGTCTTGTTTGTTGCTACTCTAAAGTACAGGAACATACGATAGCTCTTCACGATGTTGCCCAGCTATAAGTATTTCATACTGATCATGTTTAGTATTTCGTGGAAATCAAATAAGAAGAATGACTTTAAAGAATCGTATTGATGAACTTTATTATTATAAAACTTGTTTCCACTAATGTTATTGAACTATTCTGTTACCAAGGTATCAAATAACTTATATGGACAACTTGACTTTTGTGTCTTTCTCTTAAATGTTTTGTGTAATATATCTGTGATATGTGCTAAAAACAGATTAATGATTAACTTATTATTATTTTCAATGTGCTGGACCAAAATGTGTAAAAATTGTAAGTTAGCAAAGTACCTATTTTGGTAATCAAAGAACTAAATATGGTTATTGTACTGTGGCATTTTAATTTGTTCCGCCTGGAGTTTTTTTATCCTTCCATGAAGTTAGAACATTCTTGAAAAAAATATTCTCTTCTTTGTGTTCATATGTCTCTCAGCCTCGTTAGGAGTGTATATTTCAGACTGTTTTTCATGAAACAGGATAACAGTGGAGTAATTAAGAGGAATTTAAAAAACAACAACATTGCAGTCTAGTGAGATTGCATCACTATTATTAACATTTTGTGAACATTTATTTTAAATTTGGCTAAAAATAAGAAATTTATAGAAAACCAAATCGTAATTTATAAAAGAACACGTATAAATTATTTTAAAAATACGTTTTAAACTTATTAATGAACAAACTTTTGATATCAAGAAATAATGGTATGACTATAATGTAGTACATTGGGTAAATATCTTTTGTGAATTCTTTCACAATTCGATTAAACAACGATTAAAAGATGTTGTTACTATGAGGAATTTAAATTCAATTAATATTTTGTATAATCACACTCTTATAGTAGTTTAATCGAAGTTGGATACTTTTATGGTACATTATTCTGTGTGTATTAATTTTCAAAGATTTTATTTAAATTTAATAACAATTCGATAATTTTCATTAATATATATAATTTTACGATATATTTCCTTTGTCTGTAATCTATGTTATTATCAATAAAATGTAACTGTATTATTTTATTAGTCATTTGCATTATAAGTTGGGTTTGTTTTCAAATTCGATGACGAGGAACCCACTTTGAGACTAATAATGGTTGGAGACGGCTTGAATGGGTAATGAAGAAAAACTTTAATATAAGTTTAACATAACAGCAAATGTACAACGTTTCGACAAGGTTTTGTCATCATCAGGTACCTGATCATTGTACCTGGTGATGAAAAAACCTTGTCGAAACGTTGTACATTTGCTGTAATGTTAAACTTATATTAAAGTTTTTCTTCATTACCCATTCAAGCCGTCTCCAACCATTGTTGGATTTGTTTGTTTGTTGTTAAACGCAAAACTACACAATGGGCTATTTCGGTTGTGCCCACCGCAGGTATAGAAACTCGAGTTTTAGCGTTATAAGCCTTCATACTTACCGCTGAGCCAACGGAGGCTATACTTTGGTGGTATATAAAGTATATTAACACCACCACATTGATAGACGAAAGGGAAAGCAGCTAATCAACACCACTTACTGCCAACTCTTGTGGTGTCTTGATCGTTTGATTATACCTTCCCCACGGCTGAAAAGGTGAGCATGTTCGGAGACGGGTTTCGATCTCGCGAACCGCTGCTTACCATTCCAGCGTCCTATGTCAGGTTCTGACCATAATAAAGAATATCAACCTGCCCACGATTTCTACTTAGTGGTGCTGTCCAGCGGAAATTTCACAAGAACGACCCCTGTAAATCAAGTTTCAGAGATTGTATCATGAACTCTAGTTAGGCTTAACCACTTCAGAAGAAACGGACTTTATCTTTGAAAGTTTCTACAAATTTTCGAACATGTATAAATCTGATTTGTGACCCTATTTTCTGTGCACATTATATTTGGTCTGCTTCAACTTTACGATCAAAAGGATGTAGCATAGCTTCTTGACAAAGGATGGCTATCCAAACATTGCGAAGAAAAAATATTAAGCACAGGTTTTACTTTTATACTTTGTTATTACTGTATATTTACTAGCAATATTTATAGATTATGGTACATCATAAACCGGCCTGACCGTCACATCAACCATGCTCGCCCTTTCAGCAGTTGGTAAAAGATTAGCCCAAGCGTTGGCGGTGATGACTAGCTGCCTTTCTTTTAGTTTTTCAGTGCTAAATTAGGGACGGCTAGCACAGATATCCCTTTTGTAGCTTTGCGCGAATTTTCAACCAAACCAAACAGCCTAAACCACACTTTTTATGTTTAGGTCAGGGGCCAGAAAAAGGGAGAGCAGATTAACTTTTTATTTCCTAGACGATCCGTGATTGGAAATAAAAACTTTCTTAATTAGACGATCCGCGATTATAGAGAACGTTTTTATTTTCTAACCTTTTGTGTTTTACTTTTTGTCGTCGCTTTAATTTCGGTATGAAAATATTTTCTAGGAAATACCCCCCCCCCTCCCCCAATCGGTGGCTTAGCCTTAAGTCTGGGGGATTATATTGTTAAAAATCGGGTTTCAATACCCGCGGTGGACAGAGATGGCCTGTTCGTTTCTTTGTGTTAAATACCAAACAAACAAGTATTATTCATTGTTCGAGTTTATTTTGCATGTAAAATAATTTGGTGACAAGTAATATGATACTATTGTTTGTAATCACCACATTTGTTTTGCATTTAGAATGCTTAGTATTTAATATATGTTTTGACGTGTATATGAAATAAACCGTACGTGGTTAAGAAAAATGAAATGTATTATAATTCGTCTTTACAACTACTATTACTATAACCACTACTTTCATTTCCTATATATATATAAAAACTGCGTATAAATAATAACAACATTTTAGATCATAAATCTGCTAATAAAAGTTAACAAATAGTGAAACAACTAAATCTTGATTAATTATCAGTGTCAAATTTAATTGTATTACTGTAAGTCGTATGTTTGTTGGTAGGCTTAAAGTTTAGTTTGTAAGCTAACTTAGCTTATGGTAACGTGCTGTATTCCAAACAAAGTTGTTTATTAAGGTTTATTATTCTTAGGCTTTAAAAGCTCTTCGAAGCTAAATAGTTGCCGTTTATAATAAGAAATTACATTTTTATAAGCACAGACGGGGTTTTTAAGTTAGTTTTTCTAACATTTTACATTGAAGTAGCATAAATGTGTAGAAAATAATGAAATACAATTATAAATGTCAATGTATGTCACAGAATGTAGTATAAGTGCATTGAAACATAGGAAAATTTATTCCCAGTTTTGACCGTGGTGATTCAAACAAACACTACATCAGACTACCTTATATTTTTCATTCTCTTCAACATTTAATTTCACTACGTAAAGTTGTAAGTTTGGGTAGTTTAAAAGAAATTTCCCATGTCATCTATATGTTACACAGTGAAAAATCGACAATTAAATATAGTTTTGATTCTTGAAATGGTGATTGGTTTTATGATTATTCGATGTTATGAACACCTTAAAACAAAACTTTACAGAGCTTTGTTTTAAACAGATATAACTATTCTGAGATTTAAAAGTAATGGTCATTGATCTTCAAAAATTAGACAAAGTCGTGAGATCAACAAAGACAGTAAAACGTGCGTACATATTTCACTCATCTAAGTCAAGGAAGTAAAACACGAGTAAATTCAAGTCATCATCATCGATATAATACAACTGAGTCACAGAGATACGATGAATATAGATAGAATTTCGGAATTCGTTGAAGTATTGGCCTTTACGGCATCTATTGTAAGTGAACAACAATATACGTTAACTGCTATTATATACATACATGCATATATTAGAGAAACATTTGTTACTATACCAAGAAACATCACATAAAATAGTTCAGTGATGCATACGCATATCGCTAAGAATCTATCTCTAGACTAAACAGATATTCCATATTATACACGGGAAGATTATATCAGAGAGTGACTCGAACTGGGAAAAGTTTCTATAATTCACCGTTGACATCACCTTGGGAATATCGGAAGTAGTTGTCATTACTTTCCACTAGGGGAGTTTCCAGCATCTCGGGATCTTGTTGTCAAGATATAGCCTCTTTCGAATTGAAGTTTCCTAGGCTACTGAACTGAATCAATGACAAGTCGTTAGATGGTGGTGAAGACTCTTTCCTCACCGGTTTACTGTCTCCACCACACATAATGGCGAACTTTAATTCTCGGGACAACTCCACACACAGGGATTCCTTAGTAAACAAAAACAAAACTAGATCTGCGTTCGTGGTGTATTATAAAAACATCCAATTTCTTTATGAAACGAAAACAGACGCTAAATTAAAATTTTTGATTTATTTGAAAAAATAAACAAAAACAAAACTGTTGTGAGAAATGAAAATTAACCAGAAAGCTACAAGTTAAACTTAATGTTTCGCAGTGAAAATTTGTAAGAGCCTAAAATTTTACGGCCCTCCAGCCTGATAATACAGTAATCGAGTACAAAAATGTTATAGTTCGATTATAAATAACAATTAATTGAAGTTACAGTTGGATATTTTACTATTAGAACAGAATTCATTTCTCAAAGAAACATAAGTGCCATTCTATAAAATATAACTAACGATTAAGATAAACGATAGTAAAGATAGAAGAAATTTTCTTATTTCAATGAGCACAAACACCAAATATTCCGTGAAGATTTCCAAATTAAGATATAACAGAAAATACAAGGAGTAATGTTTTTACGTTTTTCTTTCCTCATTTTGTGTAGTTTTTTATCCCGTTTTGCAGTCCTCTGAACAAAAAATTATATTGTAACTGAGGTTCGAAACCATACTAATCTGAACTTTTCTATTGTTATAAAGTACTGTGCTTATCGATTCTTATAAGTCACTAAACGATAGTTTGGCTTCGCTTTGGATCAATCATTGTATAGTTTGAATAATTGTACATATAAAAACATTTGAATATATATGTAATATTCATATATGTACACAGCGTGGTCACAAGTAAATAGACACCACCTTTTCAGAAAAAATGAACATTTTCAGTCATATTCACATGAATTGATATATTTATAATTTAATTAATATCTAGTAGATCTTCCTTTGCTTCGTGGAGTTCGTTGATCCTTTGGGGCATCGTGAGAATCATCTCGTCAATTTTAGATTGTGGGATTTTCGCCCACTCTTGCTTCAAAACTTGGAGTAGATCTTCACCAAGAGTTTTGGCTCAACAGATTGCAGCCAACTGTGAAGCATGGTTGTTTCAGCATGATGGTTTGGGGAGCTGTTTGGATTGGTGGGAGATCGAGCTTAGTGGAGTGCGTTGGCAACATTAATTTTGTGAAATATGTTGAAATATTGGAGGAAGGACTCTTGCCACTTTATTCCTCGGGTTTCGTGGACAAGAATACAACGTTGTTCCAGAAAGATGGAGCACCGTTTCACACTGCTAGAAACACCCAAAAGTGGCAGGAAGAAAATAGTATCCAGAAGTTGCCCTGGCCGAGCCAATCTCCTGACATGAACCCCATCGAAAACCTCTGGGCCATACTCGACCGGCAAGTCAAGAAACAACCAAAAAACCAACTTCGAAGAGCCATTCTCCAGACCCATATCCTTCCACTGTCCGAAAATTGAGCGAATCTTGATTCGTCTGAGAACAATACGGTCTTCCAAAAGTCCAGAGGCTTGGTCATCATATCACTTGGCCACTTCTTTCGTCTTGACTATGTCTTAATAATGGCTTCCATCTAGCTGCTCTGCAACGATAACCGAATTTGTGGAGAATCCGTTGAACAGATTTCGGGCTCATCCCACCAACTTTGGCCACTTCTGCAGTCGTTAAGCTGGGATCCATTTCGATGCTCCTCTTAACAGCCCTTTTTGTCCTCTCCGATGGACCCAGACGCTGCTCAGTTGTTTCCTTGCCGTGTTTCCTGAACTGCACAATGATTCTGTTGACTGTCGAAAGTGGGATTCCCAAATTCTGCGAAATTTGCCACTGACTTATTCCACCA